GAAGTGAGCTGACCTGGATTTAGGTCTGCGTGGAAAATGGCCAGCTCTTGATGGCAGCGCATGAGCAGTGTCCGTTAACTCTTGTCCCTGGAGTGTAATCACTTTTATTTAAAAACCCCAGAAGAATCCTGCTATTCCAGCATGAACTTCCTTCTCCACTTGGCAGGTCCTGGTAGAGCCCAAGGCCCATCTTTTAGTCAGCTCGTTTCCAGACAGTGGTCTGGAATGACACCCACTCCACTGCTGGCTGAAGGAATGGTACCAACGTCATGCTAAAAACACACTTGAGCAGTGTTTGTAATGTGAGAGGGGACCCATTCTTTTAATCAGAAAATCTTTGGGGAGGAAAAATGATGTAATTGGTCAAATTCTTGGTATTAAAAAAAGATAGGCAGGAATGAGAGGAGCCATCCTCAAACTGACCTGGGACCTGGGCGTTGGGGGCAGGGACACAAATGGTTTTTCCTCTCCTCTTTTGAGGGATGCAAGTGTCTATGGAGTGGGAGAAGCCACTTGTGAACTGATGGGTCACCATTTTGGTAAGATTTTGGCCGTTTCTTCTTCTTCAAGGGGTCAAGGAAAAACGGACCTTTGTTAAACCAAAGCTTTAAAACTGGATCCCCTGTATACCACTCCTTGAATCATTTTCTCTAAGGAATCGTCTTCTCTGGGGGATAATTCCCACCCCCTCTACCAATGGGCTGCCATAGTTTAGTATCAGACAACTTAACTTAGAAAAAGTTTTATTGACATATAATTCACCTTGTGTGATAGAGTTGGAAACCATGTGAGGCACACAGTGTCACTGCTGTTCGTAGGTGCCATCGAGAGTGTTCTGAATCAGAGTGGCCCTCTGTACAACAGAATGAAACACTGCTCCATCCTCACAATTGTTCTTGTTTGGGCCCATGGTTGCAGTCACTGCATCCAGGGTCTTCCTCTTTTGCCGCTGCCCCTCCACTTTACCAAGCATGATGTTCTTTTGCCAGAGACTGGTCTCTCCTGATTAAATGCCCAAAGTACATGAGACAGTCTGACCATCCTCGATTCTAAGGAGCATTCTGTTTGTACTTTCTCCAAGACAGGTCCGCTTGTTCACTTGGTAGCCCATGGGGCAGTCAATAGTCTTTGCCAGCACCATTAATCAAATGCATCAGTTCTTCTCAGGTCCTCCTTACTCAGTGTCCAACTTTCATGTGCACACACGGTGATTGAAAACACCATGACGTGGCTCAGGCGTACCTGAGTTCTCAAAGTGACATCCTTGCCTTTTCATACTTTAAAGAGGTCTTGTGCAGCAGATTTACCCAATGTGTCCTTTGATTTCTTGACTACTGCTTCCATGATCATTGACTGGGGATCCAAGATGAAATCCTTGACAACTTCAATCTTTTCTGTCGACCATGATGTTGCTAATTGGTCCATTTGTGAGGATTTGAGTTTTCTTTACATTGAGTTGTAATCCATATTGAAGGCTGTAATCCTTGTTATTTATCAACAAGTGCTTCAAGTCCTCCTCACTTTCAGCAAACAGGGTTCTGTCATCTGCATATTGAAACTTGCTCATAAACTTTCTGCCAGTCTCGATGCCATGTTTGTTTTCTAGTTGTTATTTTTAAAGTTTAAATGGATTGAGTTTATTGAGAGAGGTACTTTGACCTTGGAGTGTCAAAGGGTGCCCAGCTTATCCCAGGGCACAGTAGAATAGAGAGCAAAGTCTTTCATTCTGTTAACGGTGAACCTTCCACCATTGTCTGGCTTTCTGACGGGTCTACTGCTCTCGGCTCGCTTTCTGTAGTGTGCGTCCCTTTCCCAGTTAAGTGCACCCCAGCACCTCAGAGTTCATGTGTGCTTGTCTCTACCTCATCCAAATTATTTTGGAAGTTGAAGGGTAAAGAGCATCTCTCTGTAACTGCTTCTTGCTGGACACGAAGACCGAGCTGATTTGGATGGTACCGTTTTTATTCCCTACCTGGGAAAACAACGGCATGGGGCCTCACTGGCAGTGGGAGTGGGACGCGTGGCTGTGAAGGCCCACGCCACCACGGGGCGACTGGGGACGCTAGATCGGCTGCTGTCGCTTGGTAGGTCCAGCGTGCCCAGTGCCTGGGGCGCCTTGTCTTATTATGCACCACAGGGCCAGTTTCAGGGCCAACTAGATTGGTTTGTGGGTGTGCAGCCTGCTTTGTAGCGTCCCTGAGGCTCCCTAGGACAGAGGTGGGGAAGGGGGAGTCCCATGTTGTTCTTATTGTCTAGCTTCCCTGATTATTTGTTTAATATAAAGATTAAGTCATCTCCCGAGAGCTCCTGCTGTGCCAGAGGCGATCATCAATGGAGCTCAAAGAAGCAAAAAGACTTGTGAGACACCAACAAAGAGGGGGTGTAAGGCAATATATAGAGGAGCATGATGCTTCAGAGCCAGAAGGGCTCTCTGGTTGAACATCATCTCGTCTTCATTTGCTATGAGGACATTGGAAGAGAGACGTGGTTTCGTCTTTCAAAGAACTAATCAAGGTCCGTCCTCTCCAGGAAGGCTCTCCTGATATGCTCTCCTCCCAGAGCAGCACTGGTACCTCCTCAGCCTTCGCAAACGACCTTTTCCTGAACCTCCCTCAGCTCTGAGTTCCTGAATACCAATTTTATGATCCCAGATACGTTTCTTGAGTGGTAGACGTGACAAGGGTCATGCATGGACCCGGAGGGGAGGGGGTGTTGATCAATAAAAGTTATTGAAGACCTTGGGGTGGGGGTGGGGGGGTGAGAACTCTGCTTCTGTAGTATATTGCAGAAAACCAAGGCATTGCCAATGCAGCCATTCAAATCTACCAGCTGCTCAACAGAAGAAAGATGAGGGTTATCTGTGTTTGTCAAGACTGACCTCCTCAGCTCAGCAGCGGTTTTACTCTGCCCTACATGGTGGCTGTAAGTTGGAATGACCTTGATGGCAGGGGATATGATTCAGTTTTGAGTGGCAAGAAAGTGGAGGCCACCCAGAACTAAGGAAAAGTAGTGGAGAAGCCGGACAGGGTGACTGATGTTTTCAGAGTGGGAGGACTGACCTCCGACGAGTCTATCTGTTTTACAACAGATAGGATGTTCCAAAGGAAATGGAGAACTGAGAGAGTAAAGTGCTGGAAACGGTAAGAAGAGATGGGCGTTAGATGGCAGGTAGGGAAATATCTTGATTGGGCTTCTTTCTGAAGACCAAGAAATATATATAGGGAGCATAGAATGTGGTGAGGTAAACAGGAGCTAACAATAAATGCAATTTCCAAGGTCATCAAACGAAGTAAAAGAAAAAAGGTAATTGCAGTAGCTCAATTTAGCTATGTTTTCTGGTAACAATTCAGGGCACACAGCACATAAAAAGTCTGTTAGCACAGTCGACCAACAGCTACTCCAAGAGGAAAGTTTAAAAATCAGGCGTGGAATAGGCAATAAATAGCCCTCGGGTAACTATTAATATTCAACAAAATCATTGTTTAAATTCTATTATTATCTTTACTTACCAATTAACTTTTTAGTTCTTAATGGAATCTCTCCTTGTAATGGGTCTTTGAACACATTCATTTACTCAACAGATTTCAAAAATAAGACTGACTCTGTCTTCAAAAGCCAATCACCTAAAACCCAATTTATCAGAATTAATTGCTGCCCTTCATGAGTAAACTTCAAATGACCATTTCTAGCTACCCTAAGGTTACACATATGTGCGTTTTAGGCTAACACCCTCCAGATCCCTTTTCTCAGTTTGCTTTTTAAATACTGACTCGTTTCTTAAGGTTGTTTACATTGAGCTTCCATGATTGACTCTAGCAGGGATTGGTGTGAGAATTCCACTTTTCCTGCACATTCAGTTGCAGTGGGGCTTTTTAATTGACTAGTGTACAGAAATTCCTATCTACATTTTTTATTACGTTCAAATATTTAGTGGGTAAATTTCACCTTTAAAGTTACATATGGTTTTTGAAAGACAAAACTACTAAACAGACACTTTCAAGTTCAATTTAAGGGTTAAGTCTCAGCAATCTCTTTGGCTGTGCTTTGGGCCTGAAGAATAATCTGCTAGGTAAACTCTTTTTCAGAGTGGCTCTCTGTCCACCATTCAGTCTTCCATGGCCCGACTTGTCTTGTAAAGCTCTGTCACCCGAGTCTGCATCTGAGGATCAACGGTCAAGTGGCACCCTGGCCCCGTGCTCAAGCGACTAACAAGGGCTGCCGATGTAGCTCGATAGCTGCTCTGAGGAGTAAGATGTGGCAGTCGGCTTGCACCAAGACCTCTGAGGACTAAGATGTGGCAGTCGGCTTCCGCAAAGATTTACAGCCTTGGAAAGCCTTTGAGGCAGTTCTACTCTGTTCTATAAGGTTACTGAGTCTGAACTGACTTGAGAGGAGTGGGCATTTTTTTAGTTTGACCCTAAACATCAATAAAAAGGGTAAATAAAAAGGGTAAAGCAAGTTACTTCTTTTCTATTATTATCTTTACAAGAAAAATGAGGGGTGTTTTCAAAACATTCGTGGAAATACTCCATTATCTCTAAATTTCATTTTTCCCAGTGAATTTACCCTTATATATTACAAAACTCACTTTCAGCAGGATAAGACATTGAATGGTCATATACCCTGAAACCTGTTGTGTTATTCACGGAACATTAAACAAAAAAAGCAATGGATCTGTTAAAAAATAATAAACCCAAAACTCACTTATGTAAGCAATTCTTAGGTATATTTTTTAAAAATGGGGACGATGTGCTCTCTAAGATGCTCCTAGCTGCGAGTACTACAAGGATGTGAGCCTTTAGAAATCTAGCTTCTTAACTGGTGATGGAAAGTGTGTAAGTTAAATGTCATGAGGAAACCAGGTTGTGGCAATCTGATCCAGATAAATGCCCTACAAACCCACAGACGTTGGTCAAGAACCCAATGAGCTCTGAATAGCTGAATTCACCACTATCTGCTATCATGCTAAGCACCCCGTCTTCCCCAAAACATGTGAACTATTCCAGTTTTACTAATAACTTTATTTAAATAAGACACAGGAACTTCTATACTGAAAAAAATTATAAAACAAAGCCACATATTTCCTTGTGTAAAGCCATATCGTATGGTAACTCCAATACTGTTCAGCATGGTGGCTAGAATTAAACCGTACAACTATATACAAAATTTAAACAATTCTTTGACAAATTTCTACAGCTGCACGTAGGATACATTTGAGCTCAACAACTTCTGGGTAATTTACATGGCAAAGCATAAGCTTTAACACATTTGGTTCAAAACTTTAATATATGCTAAGAACAAATGTACAACACAATTAATATTTAGTTTCTCATGAGAAAATAAAAGTACATGTCACTATAAATATCGTACATCAGATTTCATCACCATAAAAGCATAATGAGTCCATCTTTCTGAAACTGATAGTGATACGACTGCATCTTATTTGGACAAAAGCAGAGCATAAGATCAACACATTATATAATGCTAAACCAGAGATCAGAAGTTAAATGGAGCTCATATTTATCTTACAGAACTAGTATTTCTCTCCCTTTAACCATAATCTACAAAATATAGTATTTTCATCAAGGCCTGAGATTATTAGGGTTAAAGGTGTTTGCTGTTGGAAAGATTGTTTTAAAGGTTCCCCTGTGAAAATGGCAAAAGTAAACCGAGTCCCTTTTTCCATGACAGTCTCCTACAATATAACACTGACTAACGTAAAGGAGCCAGGATGCACCTTCGGGAGAGAACATTGCTGCAAACTTTGGTGGAAAGAAGAGAGTTGGGGATTACGGAAAAGCTAATGGACAACAACACACGGACACAGTCACACACATACATCCATTTCTTTTTTTAGCAGTTGTGTTGCTTCCTTTTTGTTTTGCTTTATGACCTCAACCTCCAACCATTTTAGAAAACCAAAAGCAAAGAAAGAGAAAAGAAGGAAGACTGAAGGAATGATTAAAGGGAACTAAGTGAAGCACTCCTGTTACGGTAGGCACCTTGTTTTCCCAATTCTTAAGAAGATTGTGCCACACACTTTAGGTGTCGATGAAACGCGTCTAGGTTTTATCGGACTGAAAGCAATGGGATAAAAGTACAAAAGCATCTTTTTGGATACCCTCTTTGAGCTTCAGAAAACACTATCTGGAAATTGGGTTCTCCTAATGACTAAACAGGAATATCTAAGGCTCTCTTCACGCTTTGTTGAGAACTTACGTCACATCTGCAAGTTCAAAGCTATTTACTTGGGCTCATGGTCTATTCACACATCCAGAATCTTAACAAAAGTACTCATGATGGTATTATGAGAGGCTTATGAGACACAGCTTCTAACAACTGCTTTTGCAAATCACCTGCTTACTTATGTTGCATTACTTCTGAGACTCACATATCCTCTCTCAGCAAGTTAAATGCAGCTCCTACACACAAACTGCTTGAGGAAAACAAAACCCCAGTGAAACCAAATACTAATATGCCTTTAGATAGAACAGTAGCCTTTCATGACTCCAATGGCCCACACAAATCTTGATCCTCCCCTGTGAAGCTGCAATTGTTTTAAAGGGAAACCTGGACATTCACAAATTCATCAGCGCCATGTGGAATGTTATGTACAGCCTAGTACAGAACACTGTATTTGCAACATTGTAACAGTCATTTGCAGAGCAACATTGAACTTGGGAAAAAAAGAAACGAAAAAGCCACTTTTACAGATTACACGTGCTGAAACAGTGAATGCAACAGTAGTTTGACTTGTAACCGCATGACAAAAGTGATCTCAAGACAGACGGATTTGCTGGTTCTCCTCATGTTCATCCATGTCCAGGATTATCGCTTTCCTAAGGTTGAATGCACTTTTTATTCCAAGAATGTGGAATGTAATGAGGACAGGGAAATGCATAAAATAAGGAAAGGCAAAAGAGTGATGTTCCCTCTTTAGCTTTTTAGCTGTGAAATATTTAATATCCCAATATAATATACATTCCAAGTTACCTGAGTTTAGACTTCAACTGAAGTACCTGAAGCTAGGCCATAGGGTGGGCACTGTGCAACTGTTGTGGCCATATATTTATATATATATTCTTTTTTTTTTTTGCATTGTATGTATTACAGAAGTTAGAAACAAACACCTGGATCAATTGTAAACATAATCCTGAAGTACAGTATTTTCCATAGGACAAAACACAGCAAGACATTGCTTTGTTGACATTCTATTTAGACAGGCAACTTTTTGATATAGAGCTTATTTATACTGAAGATTTTGAAACAAAACACAAGACACAATACTAATCTGTCAGACATACTATGAAATGCATAGTCTCCACTGAAAATGCCGAACGACACACACATTTTGCAAGCATTACTGCTTTCCACAAAAACTGCTAATAGGAGTTCCATCCCTGCCAAGATCAACGTTAAGAGATACTTTGTGATGCTGATAAGTATTTTGGTGGTGGTGGTGGTGGTGGTCGGTAAGGTTTGTCACTCCATGCAGATAGATGTATGAGAGATCGAGTTCCTAGTCCAGGGAACACAGGGTAGAGGCCGGCTCCCCCTTGCATTAGATGATCACATAGTTGTGAGTGGAGACGAGCTCCTCACCCTGCAGTTCCTGCAGAAGCGGCTGCTGCTGAGATGGCTGTTGGGCTAAGACCTCTGCGGAGCCCACTGTGCTGGTGTCTTCAGAAAGAGACGCAAGGGACACTCGGGAGGAGAGCTGCTCAATGGTCAGAGCAGTCAGAGCTGGGCTCTGGCCAGAGTTAGGAGCGTTCTTGAGCACCAAGTCGGAGGCAGGTAAGAGAGGGCCTAGGAGTTTTACAGGACAGAAAGCTGATCCCGTTGGGATGAAATTAACCTTGTTTTTGTCAGGGCATGAAAAGAGAGGGGCTGCGAGAGGCTGACGAGACCTAAAACCATAAAACAAAATTAGGTTTAAAATTACTTTCTGAATTAATTAGAATTCTCTAAAACAGCTAGCATGTGAATGGCAGAGAATGGGGTTAAGTGTACACAATGGAATAAACATCTTCCATAGCACAAGTCAGTTGGCTGATTAGTCACATACACAGCACAGAAGTGATCGTTGAAACAAAAGTATTTTCAAAAGGACCGGGTAGGTGATGCACTTTTGAGAGGTCAGCTGTTTGCTTTCAGTCATGTAGGAACATGGAAAAATAACCTACATTGGAGTTGCAGATTATGCAAGTTTAGAATGACCTTCTCTGTTAAGATAAAGTATGCTGTGGGGTAATTCACCCTACTCTGTATTTGGTTATAAGCATTTCCCCTTTTTCTCTATCACTGTACATGCTTCTGTTAACACAGATGGAGAACGCTTTCCTTCCAGTCTTCTCTCGCACACTAAGTGTGCCCTACAGAGTTTGGCCCACAAGCCCTTCCTCTCCTCCGATTCCTGGAACTGAAGCCATCAACTCCCGCACTCCCTGTCCCCAGATAGGCTGCCAGAGTGCAGAGGCCCCCACTAGGCACTACGACAAAGGGACAAGTGAGTCAACAGCTACAGGGTCCTTTTCTGAGCCATTCTGCCAATTACTTACAGCTCGGACCTCTTTTGACTTAATATCGAATTTATACACACTCAAGTGCCAAAATCAAATCAAACCTGTGAACACAAAGTCTGATTGCCATGGAGAATACACAAAGCAGATGTGTCTGTGCAGGAGTCCGACTTTGTTCTGGCTGTGGAATCACCATCATTAGGCGAACACCAACATGGATCCTGAGTGTTTTTTTGTTAGCCATCTACAATTTCAGTGTGTGAGGGAAAATTTGAATAATTAAAAGAAGATCATTTAGGTCACGAGGGGTGAATTTCCAAGTTTCTTTGTACTGACATACACTTCCAGGACGCAGACGCCAGCTTCCCTTCACTAAGATCTCTTTTGCCTACACGGTTCTTTTTTGAATTAATTTGCTCTGTAAAGACACCATCAGCTGGATGGAGTAGTTGATTATCTGTAATCAACCCATCTCAGTAGAAAGCTTTACAGCTTTGCAGATCCCAGCTGATAGAAAAGACATTACTTACGCCATTTCCTCAAAGACCTTCACTCGCTCACATCCCTCTGGGGGCTCCCGTTTGAACATGTAGCTGTTGTTTGGTTTGGGAGATGAAGCATACTTGGGTAACGGTGAGCTACTCCCACTGTCTGTAAATTTAAAGCAGTTACATTAACTAGTGATTGAAAGTTCCTTTAAATGAAATTTGATTTCCAAACAAGCAGCCTTTTTTACAGTTTATCCACTACTGCCCCTTTGCTTCCACCACAGAGCTTCCTTTATTGCAAAGCTATTTCTAACACCCATGTGTAGAACTTTTTTTTTTTTGGGGGGGGTGCCGGAGAAAATTTCAATGTGTGAGTAATCTACCAAACCACATAACATAATAGGGCGATATTTTGGCCCCCAAACGGCATTGTGAATAATGCAGTGCTGTAATCCTGAACATCAACACATTATTTATTATGCATTTCAAAAATGTAAATGAGGTAATATGTATAACTCATGCACAAAATTACAAGAGATTATAATAATACAAGGTCCTCTGTTTTCTCACTGTCCAAATTAAGTAAAAATTTAAGTGAGTGAAATAATCATTACAAAAGTTCTTAGCAGAAATACTGCTTTTGCTAAACAGCATGAATACAAGTAGAGGGGGAAAGGGCTTATAACACGTGTTTTTCTAAACATAATTTTCTCAGAACTTGTCTTTAAAATAAGTGCTAAAGAGTGTAACTTTCCAGAGTTTGTATTTTTGCTAAAGTCACGAAAAAAATCCAAAAGCGCCTTGCCCTAGTATGTTTTCCTCATCTCACCCCAGTATGCTAGTATGTTTTTTCTCATATTTTCAATGAAAAAAAGTAAAGTCTATTTAGGAAAGGTCATAAAAATCTATACGCAATGGCTTCCTGGTCTACCTGGACAAATAGTCTGGTAGGGCATTGGTTCTATGTTGAGCTGCTAACCGAAAGGTCAGGAGTTCGAAACCAGCTGCTCCTTGAGAGAATGACGAGGCTTTCTGCTCCCGCAATGAGTTACTGTCTCAGCAAACAAGGGCAGTTCTATGAGTTGATGAGGTTTTTTTTTCCCTACCTAGCACAAGAGTTTAAAAACTCAACTCCACCAAAATATGTCATTATGTTTGTAGGATGCCAAATAATAAAATCAGTAATGTATTTGTATAAATATGACAATCCTACCTACCCCATCCCCCCTCAATTTTTTTCCACCAGGCAACTTGCTCTGAGTTAGTGTGCCCAGTGGCGTCGCCGGGAACGTTCTCTCTGGTCACAGTGAAATTTTTTGTAAAAGCAGTTTCACTGCAATCTTGTTTTTTGTGATGGCTGATTTATGAGAACAGCATGCAGCTTTGAAATTTTGTTTCCTGTTCGGGAATAATGCTTCAGAAACTGTTGTGATGTTGAACACAGCTTACAAGGACAGTGCTATGGGAAAAAACTCAAGTGTACGAGTGTTTTCTTGTTTCAAAAAATGTGAAATGTTGACTGATGACAAAATCCTCCTTCTGGATGTCCATCAATTTCCTGACTGGATGAAAATGTCGACTTGTAGTGCATTTGGAGTTGGTTCCACCAGGTCAGACTGTTAATCAAGCTTTCTTTTTAGAGCAGTGGTTCTCAACCTTCCTAATGCCACGACCCTTTAATACAGTTCCTCATGTTGTGATGACCTGCAACCATAAAATTATTTTTGTTGCTACTTCATAACTGTCATTTTGCTGTTATGAATCATAATGTAAATATCTGATATGTAGGATGCATTTTCAGTGTTACAAATTTAACATAACTAAAGCATCGTGATTAATCACAAAAACAATATGTAATTATAATTCATGAAATGTCATTTTACCTCCAATACTGCTGCTTTCAAAACAGTAGCTGCTCTCTACACAGTAGCTGCTCTCTACACGTGTTCACATAAGTACATTATGTTGCCAACCCTGTCACATACACCTGTATTTGCACGGGGTATATGTGATGGGGTTGGCACGATGATGTAATCACACCAGGTATCTGCATGTGGGCAGACCCGGAGACAGATAGAAGAGTGGTATCTCAGTTACTAAGATCTTCGGAAATATGTGTTTTCAGATGGTCTTAGGCAACCCCTGTGAGAGGGTCATTCGACCCACAGGTTGAGAACCACTGACTTAGAGGTTCTGAAAAGATAGTTTAACAGTGTGTCACAAAAAGGCCTGATTTGTGGCAGATGGAGGACTGGTTTTACCGCCATGACAATGCACCTGCTCACTCAGCCACCTCAGTGCAAAAACAGCATCCCTCACTTGCCCCACACACCTGACTCAACTGACCTCGCTCCGTGTGACTTCTTTTTGTTTGAGTGCAGCGGGACATGAAAGGACACTGATTTGATGACATAAAAGAGGGGAAGGAAAAAATCAGCGAGGTGCTGTCAGCCATCCAAACAGAGCAGTTTGAAAATGATTCCAAGAATGGGATCACAGATTTGATGAATGTAATAAGTGTAATGGAGAGTACTTTGAAGGTGATAAAGGTTGTTTTATAAAAAAATAAAAAATAAATTAAATACATATCTTTGAGGAAAAAAATTCTTGTTTTGGGGGGTACCCCTCACATTTCATCACAACCTGACTTAATGCAAACCAGTCTCCAGTGCTAAAATACGAAGCATGGGGTCTGCTGATATGCCTTGTTTTCCTCTATTTTGAAAGATGGCATTAGTACCATAATTAAAGCATGTTTGTTACAGTGTTGAAAGGCTACTTTATGGCACAAAACCTAAAAAAAAAAAAAAAAAAAGGAACATGTTTATCATCGTCTAATGCATGCTTAGGAGAGTTAATCCTCAATGCACACTAAGAGTGCATGTTTTTGATTCATAGCACATTTTTGAGTCTCATGAATGCAGATCTATACTTTTATGAGAATGAATATGGTGTTATTCTGGCTGGGAAATCACAAAGTAACAAGATCATGCTATTGGGAAAAGTTCAAAAACATGATTTTTCCATCACTATTGTTATACAGGTGCCTACAGATTATGTATATAATAGTCTATTGGAAGGAATAGCATCTTGGAATTTTTTTTCCTTCTAACATTCAGATCTGAGGATTTTCTTCCTAGATTCAACAGTTTGATGTACAACATCAGCTTAATTAAAGGTCTGAGAGAGCTTGATGTTCCTCTTCACTTTAGCTAGGCTAGAGTCCACATTCAAAGACTGATGAGAATAGGGATAGAACACCACCCCAAACCTTTTTATCCCCCTTTATAAAACAGGTTTTATAAGGAACCCTTAGGATTGTAACAATGCAACCCATTCTAGATTTCATGGATATATAAAAATTCACTTATTCAATTAGAAATCTGTGTTGAATGCAGCACACATTTCAATAAGAGAACAGTATAAACATAGGTAAGCATGCCTGCTCAGGAAAGTTAATTCCTCTTATTCACAAGCATGCTAAAGTTTCCCATGCTAACCTATTGAGGGGTAGTATATGACAACACATACAAACACAGTTGTTACTTTGTGTCCTTCTAACAACAAAAAATTCAAACCCATTGCCCTGGAGTAGAGTGGCTCAAGGTGTCCTACAAGACAGAGTAGAGCTGCCTTGGTGGATTTCCAAGGCTAAATCTTTATAGAAGTAGATTTCCACATTGTTTGCCTGCAGAGTGGCTTGTGAGGACACACCATCTACCCTCTGATTAACAGGCAAGCGTGTGACCACTGTGCCACCAGGTTTCCTTTATAACATTTTTCCAATGCCAATTATTAAAACCAAATGGAATAAATATGAGTATTTACAATTCTTTGTTGTTGTTATATGCCATACAGTTAAGAATACAAATCATACCTCACCTACTGCCATCAAGTCAATTCTGTCTCCTAAGGATGACCCTTGGGTTTCGAAGACTTACAATCTTTATGGGAGTAAAAAGCTGCATCTTTCTCCTGTGGAATGACTGATGGGTTTGAATTACTGACCCAGAGGTCAATACCTAATCTACTATGCTACCAAGGATCTTCTCAGAATTGGAATAGTTCTGTCTATATTTAGAATAGAATTTGGATTCTTAAAGGCTTGCAGATAACCCATCTAGCTGAGAATCAACAAAACCCAAATGGAACAAGCACACCAGTCTGTGTGATCATGAGGTGTCGATGGGATCAGGTATCAGGCATCAAAGACCCAGGACAAAAAATCATATCGATGCAAACAAGGGGGAGGGTGGAGTGTAGACCCAACGCCTATCTGTAGGCAACTGGACACCCAGTTACAGAAGGGTCACATGGAAGAGAGAAGCCAGTCAGGGTTCAGTAGAGTACCAACAAAACATACAACTTTGCTCTAGTTCTTTAATGCTTCCTCCCCCTATTATCATGATCCCAATTCTACCTTACAAATCCGGCTAGACCAGAGCATGTACACGGGTACAGATAAGAGCTGGAAACACAGGGAATCCAGGACAGATAAACCAATAAGGAGTAGCAATACCAAGAGAGTATTGGAAGTACCAGGAGAAAGGAAGAACCAATCATAATGATCGACATATAACGCCCACTCCACCAGGGGGGATGAACAACGGGAAAGTGGATGAAGGGACACAGCAATTGATGGAAGACATGAAAATAATAATTTATAAATTATCAAGGGTTCATGAGGGAGGGATATGGGGAGGGGTGAAAAAATGGAGGAACTGATACCAAGGGCTCAAGTAGAAAGCAAATATTTTGATAATGATGATAGCAACAAATGTACAAATGTGCTTGGCACAATGGATGGATGGATGGATTGTGATAAGAGTTGTATGAGCCTCCAATAAAATGATTAAAAAAGAAAATGATGATGGAAACATACGTACAAATGTGCTTGACACAACGGGAAGATGGATGGATTGTTATAAGGCCCCCCAGCAAACATTAAAAAAAGAGAAAAGAATTATCCAACTCTGAAAATCAGGAGTAGGGAACTGTTATATTAAAAGACCATGCTTATGTGTATACACCATATTTACCATGAAATCAAATGTAGGCTGTTGAACACTTTGAAATATGATCATGAATTACAGTTCAAAAGAAATAGAAAAGCTATTATTGAGATATGGATTTTCATTTAGAGACAAAAGTCATTAACCATAG